CAATACATGCACTCGGAGGGGGGGGAAAATTAAAAAAAAAAAAAAATATATATATATATATATATCTTATCATCACACTTACCAGCATCTTGGCCAAAATACAACTTGAGTAACACTCTTCCACTTTCAAGCTCTTCATATTTCCAGTTGGCTACAGTACTTATTCCTTCTCACAAACCTGCTGTGTGCTATTAAATAGCTATCAAGCTCCTCCCTAGAGTTGGCTGCATTTCAGAAGTTCAGATAAAACCTTTCAGGAGAAAGCCACTAAGGAAATATAAGAATAATACGTTATAAAGGCAATTGCTTGATTAAATGGAAGGTAACCTTTCTGGACCTCATGAATAAAAAATGACACGGTATTTCTTCAATGAACATTTCCCTCTGTTAAAATGTAGGAATGGGAAGGCAACTCTCAGTGATTTGGCATCTTTATGCTGGTGCTTGAGGGGTCCATCACAGACAAATTGGATCAAATAAATTTTAATGCACTTGCTTGAAAACTTGGGGGAAAGAATAATCAGCCCAGAACCTAACAAGCTGTAGAGAAAATATCACCTAGCCTGGAAGTTTGCAAAAAATTTGCAAAATGGCTTTATATAAACCTGAAGTGTAACAGGTGTTTGTGTAACTGCTGGAAGCATCAATGACCTATTGTAGCCCAACAGACATGTTAAAGGACAAGAGTAGCCAAGATCACCTCCACCCCCTTTCCCTGCAGCTGCTGGAGGCACTAATCATGGTGCCTGGCCGCACAATTCAAGCATTCCTTCTTTGAGAGGTATTCGCATCTGGGAGATTTGGTTCAGCCTCATCTGTGAGAGCCTGTTTCAGGTCAGTGCATCTTTAATTCACTGAAATGGGGAACATTCAGAACAAAGCTTTGGCACAGGGATAGGTGACCTTCAAGGAGGTTTGGAAATGCACCCAGAAGTCCAGACGCTTAGCTCAATCTCAATCAAGGACCAGAGAAAACATGTCAGACTCAAAAGTTCTCACAAGAACGGGCTTTCTTTCTGCTCCCATTGAGGCTTAAGAGTCTCACTTTCACACAAAGGGTTGTATACCTCCAGTCTTGACTAAAACATACCATAAAAGCATGGAGACCAACAGCCAAAGTGCAAAGGAACTTGAAAGTTTTAAAACAAACTTCATCAAAACTTTAAAAGGGCTGAGTACTGGGTGGAGTTTAGTCTGGCTGATAATAAAATGAAGCATCTGAAGAGCACTTTCCATCCATAGACCTCAAAACACATTAGAAATGAGGCTGGTGTCAATTATCTCCATATGGCTGAGGGGAAATGGAAGCACTAAGAGGGAAAGCATTTGCCAGGTTGTCACGGCTGGGCAGCGACAGAGACGGGAGCAGACGCCGGGTCCGGTTCCTGGGCCCTGATTCTGTTCTGCTGAAAAGCGTTGGCTCCCTGACCAGCAATCCTCCACGCTTGCCTCTTTTTTCATTTGTTTGCCTGAAAAAGCTGTAGATGGAGGGAGTTTAATTTAATGTTGCTTGTGCATTAAAAAGAGAAAGTGCCTGAAAAACTGAACAGTCAAGTGAGGTAGTAACTATGAACATTAGACATAATTGGATAGTCTGAGATCATTGGAGAAGCAACATTAAGCAGGATTAGAAAAAAAACCCTACATTGCTATCATTTTCAAGGAGAAAATCCCCTCTGGCTATAATTTATGTAAAGTAAGCACAGTGTAAAAGCAATGACAATATTTTTTCCGAGGAGAAACAGAGCCTCAAGATTTAGTGTTTAGAACAGACATGCGGTATCAGTTATGTTTGGGACACACTAAAACGGCTTTTGTAGCTCATCAGCTCTGGGCGGCAGTCATTGCGGGTCCTGCCAGCTGACAGGGTAGGGCTCATCACCTCCAGAGAGGAGCAGGCAGCACTGGGTCGTGCTACAGCCCCGGGCCAGATGGCGCTGTCATGCCAGAAGAGCCACCTTTCCCACCAGCCATAAAGCCAATGGCAGCTGTGAAAGATCCCCTGGTACTTTTGAAGACGGTATGAATTAAAAAGGACCCCTCCCTTCTCCCCATCACACTGTTGCCGATTGCAAGCAATGCTGAGTTTTTGTCTGGAAACGGGGTATAAAAGGGTGGAGCATTTGCACCTCTCAAAAGGGCTGAGCCGTAAACAGATATCTCAGCATACCCGGTAGTAAAGAGTCAAGTAAAACCAGAGTGCCCGTGTTTGGTACTGGAGACACGAGATGGTTTTGTTTCATGGACCTGCGCAGCGATTACGAACACATCCTTGCTCTCCAGAGAGCACTGCAAAGCATCACATGCAGACAGAGGACTGATTTTCCAGGCCTTTAGGTGTCCTGCTGATGGCGGGTTTCGATGCGTCTCGGCACAGTTTAGACCAGAGGATGCTCGTAACATCTAACTAGATTCAAGAAGTACTTTACTTGTATAGGTGGCAGCAAAGAAACTGGTATTGGCTTCCAAATACTGAACTCATACCATTGCCTGGATGCGTGGCATCACCCTTCCAGGGTAGCACTGGGGCAACATCTGGGGGACACGGTGTAGCACTAAGAGACCACCCCTAAAATTCTCTCTCTCAGCCACATCAGTGATAAAGGGTAAAATCAGAACTTATATTGAAAAATAGCGCACGGCCATCCAGCTCAGACTGGACTAATGAGATAGTATATCACGTTTGACTGACTTTTTCTTTAAAGCGAGGCCCTTTCATTGACTACCAAACTTGTCTTGTGCATGATCAGGCTGACTGGATGGGTCAGTAGACGGGAGTTTTTAATCACGCAGAATTTTAATTTTCGGTCCAGGCAAGGGCAGTAGAAACTTGGAAGTTGTTACCTTCTGCGAGCTGTTGGGTTGGTCTAGGGAAAATTACTGCTAGTCTCAGTCTTTCCCAAACAACTACCCACCCACATATCACCACAAAAATTAGACCCCGTGTAGATGTTCACATGCTAGCTTTAACTGAGCTAGTTCGGTTACCCATAGTAATCAAGCCTAAGTGGTCCTTGATTTTACAATGGCTAATTACCCAAATAAGGTCCTAGGGAGGATTGTACAGCCTGTGCTGCAGCTCCTACTGCGATGGCTTGGCTGCCGTTGGTACCAATGAAGGTGGGATAAAATGAGTGTGGGCACGTCCGCATATGCTACAATCACACCTCTTCTGATACCAGACTATAGATTTGCTTTATAGCTCCATTACTGCACCACGGGTATGGCTATCATTACGCCTTGTCCTCCAAAACCCACCACACAGATGACAATAAAAGAAATCTCTATTCAAAATACCTTTTCCATTTTGATTTTAAAGCGGTCTTGCTGGGGTTTTTTGGGGGTGGGAAGTGGCGTAGAGGAAATCAATGACTCCTTTCTTCCCTTGACTCTTGAAGCAAGGATGCAACAGCAAGTCTGTACCGAATTCCCAGTTAGATGACCTGAAAAAAAAAAAAAAAAAAAAGACAGGACTGTGTTAGCAATTATAAACACATTGCTAAATTCAGACACCACTTATTTATTGATGTGTGTTTGTACAATAGCAGCGGCTGGGAAAGCTGCAGACTCCCAGCTACCTTCTGATGGCACATAATAAGCACAGACAACATGCAGACCTACAGTGAATAATAGAACAAAAAGCTTCTAGAGGCACTGAAAATCAAAGCGCATAGGCAATCAGATGCTATCCTGGTAAACCTCCCGGGAAAGGGAGCGAGGGGCATCTTAGGAACACAGCACTTATCAGGGAAGGAGGGAAGTGTTACAGGAAGGTTATGTTAAAATCTAAACATTCAGGGAGAGAAAAGGGGAGCGCAAAATTTTACCTAGGGTTTCCGAGTCCAGAATTGCACCGTACCACATCATATTCTTAACAAGGCCAGATATCGTAGCACATCCAGGTTATCATGACATGGAGATCACAGGTCAAACCCAAGACTATATCGACAATTCAGGAAAAACAAAGTTCCCGTGACAATGCAAAGACCTTTCTAGTGACGGTAAAGTGGCTTTGTAGCGACATACAGTAGGACCCGTTTGTATTAGGGCGGTGCATAGGGGCCACCATCAAATATTAGGGCGTGAAGTCAGACTTTTGCACTACAAACCAGGTGAACGTGAGCTTTTGCATGTTCTCATCCTAAAATCCCACTGTAACTAATTGGGAAAAGGCAACTTTTTTATAAAATTTAATTAAAAAAAAAAAAAATTAAACTCTTGCCCTTGCTCTAGGACAGCCAGGGGACTGGCTCAAGTTCAAACACTTAGAGACTTCCTTATTTTTTACGATAAGCAAATGAATAAAAAAAGAAAAAATGAAACACTGCAGGCAACAATTTCCAAACAAATGATAGGAAACATTCACAAAGGAAAAAATGCTGCAAAAATATACATGCAGATATGCCCAAATATCTATAAATCAGCTGCCAAACATATTTTGATATGTATCTGATGTCCAGCGATTGGGAAACGTCAGCTATTTTTAAACTACATATTTAACCTTTCTTTTCTTTAGTGAGTATTTCCAATTAAATGATTATGCATGCAGCGCTTATTCATACACTGAAGTTCACGTAAGTGAGATTAACCCAGTTTGTCACGATGATCTTTTCCTTACTGCTGTTAATAACAGCCTCTCAAGAAAAATGCAATTTTAAAGCATGTAACAGCTAGACCTCGTGTTTCCATCAGACAAAGAGAACTCCGACTTTTATTTCTGTATGGATTTGTGTGGTGTGTGTATTTGTATCAGGGGTGGGCAAAATGCGGCCCGTGGGCTGGCCTGCGGGGCCCCTAAAAATGTAGAAAATTAATATTTAGCTGCCCCTGGCTACCTGTCATGCAGCCCTTGATGGCTTACCGAAAGTCAGTAAGCGGCCCTCTGCCCGAAATAATTGCCCGACCCTGATTTATATCATGAACGGGCTCTAAACAGGCAAAATCCAAAGGCTCTAGTATTATTACTATACCTGCGTACTAGACCTGTGCAAATATATTTCTCAGGTGACCTGACTGATGAGAACCACTGCTAATCCTCAACTTTATCCAGTGTACTTAAGGTAATTATTCATGAGTTAAGTAAGCAAATGGGTTTGGCTGATGTTAGGGACTAGCTCTCTAAGCATTAATTGTTTCAAAGCAAGTACTCGGATTTTCTCCTTCACTTGCTTGTGTGGCACAGAGGACACAAAAGACAAGACTGACTTGAAAGGAAAATCCTGGATTTGGCTTTTCTGTCCTCAGGGCAGGCTCAGCTGAGGATCCAGAGTTTTCAGGTACCTTGCCTAGAAGTCAGAGAGCTCAGGAGTATTTTGTTACGAACATCACGACACAAATTGGGGACGTGCTCTGCAAATAATATTCCCTGCAATGCTGAGATCCCCGAATTGTATTAGTGCACAAGGAGGAACACACCTTTATGGGTCATCTATAGCACTTGACTCCAGGGCTGGGGACAGACATTGCACAAAACCAGTTCAAGTGATCAGAAACTGGTTTAAACTTGTAACAGAACAGATGTTCAGTGCACATAAACCAGCTTGAGAATGGCTGAAACCAGTTTGAGATAAACCTGGTTGAATGCAGTATCAGACCGAACTGATTTGGATCAAACCGGTTTATGCAACGTCTGTCCAGACCCAAGGACTTCCAGCACCAGAGCACCATTACTGGCCCACTGAGCTAGCAACTCCACTAGCTGGCAGCAGTAGTGAATTGTTATCCTCTGGAAGTGAATCGCAGGAAACCTGTCTGGCAGCATATCACAGACAAGCAGCAGAAAAAAGCCAAAATTAATTACAAAACTGATTGCTTAGCAAAACTAGACCAATATTCAGAAGAGGTGGCAAAATACATTAAAGGTTTAGAACGATTGCTCTTTTCCTTTAAGGTGCAAATAATGATTTAGGTAAGGAAAAGAGCGTGCAATTTATCTCAACAGCATCTTTTTATATTGTCTTCAGTTCACCGGTATGCACATAGTATCAGGGGGTGTCCTCTTAGGCAAGCACTGCCCTGGGAGACTCTAGATGAGAGAAACCGTCTTAATGTGCCAATTATTTTATTATAACGGGGTCTGGAATCTGCTGGTGTTAGAATAATTTAGCAATAAAAAAACCTAACATTTGGGGCCTGAGCAGCTTAATGAGACATCTGAGATGTGTTTAAATTGTCCTGTTTACCTGGCTCTCATTTATCTTGATGGCCCCTGGCCTAGAGGTTAAGTGTATTTGCAGTGGGTGATAATAATAAGTGCATTAGACATCCCCAAGATAAAATAAGCCTCCTTAGCATAATGAAGAATTAATGACTCTTAATTTTTCCAGAGACGGAGAAAGGATGTCAGAGCTGATGGATGCTTGCTGGGTCCAGCAGATTTGTCCTTTCTGTGCTCAAGCTGGCACCCTGTCACCTTTCACAGCATCTGATGAAGCGAGTATGAGTTCATGCAAGCTTAAGCTCGCTATAGATCTTATTTTGTTAGTCTGTAAGGTACATATCTACCCTGCCTTCACCCTGTCACCCACCAAACGTGGTGAAAGCTGGCCTTGCACTAAACACCCCAGGTCATAACAGGGGTATCGTGAGTGCCTCTCCTCCAGAGGTTGCTATGCTGATAAGGATTCAGGAAAGGCAGCTTCCAGCTGAGAGGTCATCTCATTTTCTAGGCCCAGAGGAGCTTCCCTCTCAACTCACTTGGCAGAATCATACTTAACTATAGCAATAGCTCTTCCCCTCTGTATTTTTTTACATCTATCCGTTGTCTTTTGTTTGATACTTAGAAAGCAAGTACATGGGGCAGGGGCCTTCTTTAATTTTCTTATGCAGGTGTGTGCAGCGCCTAGCATAAACCCTATGTGGGGCCCATAGACACCGCTGCAATATAGATATAGATAGATAGATAGACAGCAGCATCCTAATAGTAGGTAAACACACCCAGGACCAGGGAAGAACTGGGATGATACAGCTAACAACTGGCTAATTCCTTGAAGTAGCATGGTCTCACGGGACTGACACTATAACTCCTCTCTCAGAAAAATGCAAGTTCATACTGGAGAGGTAACCCTTAATAGCAGTTTCATACACACGCTCATCAATGCAGCAAATAAGGCTTCTAATTCCTGATGCACAAAGGAAAGGAAAATGATGTTGTGTATGGGGAAAAACCAAGGATGAAAGCTGGAAAAAGAAAAGAAAAGAAAAAGAAAAAAAAAAGGCTGGCTTTCCCTTCTCCCATCCCCAGACACCCCCCGCTCATGTTACTCTGTTTGGTTTTATGTACGAATTGATGTTACAGCAAGTACAAGCGAGCCCATAGTACGCTCAGCTGCACGGGGACCCGGGCAGGCTGCTTTTGACCTTGACCCGCTGTAGGCAGCCAGCGTGGACCCCCCAGGGTCAGCAGCCACAGCACATCTACCTTTCCATGGGGGTTTATGGATGACTTACCCCTGACCTATTATTAATAGGAACTCGAGGCCCTTCAATTACCTTTTCCTTTTAGGTAACTTCTTTCTCTGCTCCATCAAATACATTTTCCCCTTATGGTGCTGTATGCACTTTCACCAGAATTACTTCTGCTGAAGGTCCTGACCTATTGCAGAACAACCTTCGTCAACTGTTTATGAGAGACAGAGCTCCCTTATAGGGGGCTGCTGATATTTTGTGCTTCTGCAGTGTCTTTTCTTTAAAAACTTCAGAGTGCTTCAGACTGAGCCAACATCACCCCAGCTTTAATGGATGGAAGCAAGTACAGTTCCAGATGATTTGCCCAAAGACAAATTAAGAGTCTCTAATAATTCCAGAAACTTGATTTCCGGTGCCCGACTCGTGTTCACTAGCACTACATTCATAAGCAAGCAGCAGCAAGAAAATTCTTTTCATCAAAAAGGAGGAGATTTATTTTATTTATAGAGGTATAGCCTCTCGTTCCTGGGCGTGCTTGGAACCTCTACCCTGACTAAAAAAACCCCACCACATATAAAAACAGGGCAATTTCAGAGCCCGGCCCCAAAGCATCGAAGTTACAAATAAGCAAATGTCCATAAATTAGATGCTGAAGGAAAGTCAGCTCCTCCAAGATACTGTAATGAACTCGCCAGTATAGAGAGAGAAAGCACAGCTGTCTGCTGGGCAGGATTAGAAAGTAGGATTCGTGGGCCCTGTGCTCCCTAAAGGAGAGTCCCTGCCTCATCCCAAGTCACAAGGCTTTGCTGGTGGTGCAGATGGGATTGGGGCGCTGGCACAACACACTTCTGAGGAGCCACAGTGCTGTGCAGCTCATTGCCAACTAGGAAACTCCTAGCTGAGGAGGGCTTTACTACCTCGTCTTTAGTCTCCAGCGTGGAAGCTGCAGAACATTTCTTCTGCCTTCAAAGATTGCAGAAAAATGTCAAAGGTACATGGGAGAGGCTGCCTCTTTTACTGCCGAATACAAACAGGA